GATCCTGAAACTGGCCATCTTTCTCTAAATCATGGACAAGATATGATGTTTCTAATGAAAATTTTTACTCATTTGCTTACAAAGGAATCTAAATTGCGTTTTAAGAATACACAAAAACTGGGGCCAGCACTGTGGCACAGCAGATTTAACCACCACCTGCCAATATGTGCATACCATATGGGCAACGATTTGAATCCCAGTTGCTCTACTTCCAATCCAGCTCCCTGCTAATGCACCTGGAAAGGCAGCGGAAGATGACCCAAGTCTCTGGGCCTCTGCAACCCATATGGGAGTCCAGGAAGAAGCTCCTGGCTCTTGGCTTCAGCCTAGCCCAGCCCTGGTCATTGCAGCTATTTGAGGAGTGAGCCAGTGAATAAAGGATCTCTCTGTCTCTCCTTTTCTCTCTCTGTAACTCTGCCTTTCAAATAAATAAAATAAATCTGTTTTACAAACATACACAAAAACCAATGCTTTCTTGCTCCAATTTTATTTTTTAAGATTTATTTATTTATTTGAAAGTCAGCATTACACAGAGAGAGGAGAGGCAGAAAGAGAGAGAGAGAGAGAGAGGTCTTCCATCCAATGGTTCACTCCCCAATTTGCCGCAATGGCTGGAGCTGTGCCAATCCTAAGCCAGGAGCCAGGAGCTTCTTCCGGGTCTCCCATGCAGGTGCAGGGGCCCAAGGACTTGAGCCATCTTCTACTGCTTTCCCAGGCCATAGCAGAGGGCTGGATCGGAAGTAGAGCAGCAAGGTCTCAAACCGGCACCCATATGGGATGCTAGCACTCCAGGCCAGGGCATTAACCCACTGCACCACAGTGCCGGCCCCTTGCTCTACTTTTTTTTCCCATTACTTTCACATCCTCACTTTTAATGAGCAAATCAAAACCAAACAGAGTATAAACTGTTGTACCTCAATTCCCCATAAACCCTAATTGTAAATTTAACACACTATTTTATTAGCAAGAGGTAAGTTAAATAGTAACCATAAATATTTAATACAGAATTACCTAGCAGTTTTAGTCATAAACGGAGTGAACATTAAACAGAGAATTACTGGATTTTAAAGGTCTATTACATGTTTTATCAGGAAACTATAATTTTTCAAGCCTTAGAGTGCTGCAAAATACTCATCAGGCATGGAATTTTTTTTTTAAGATTATATTTATTTATTTGAGAGGTAGAGTTACAGACAGAGAGAGGGAGACAGAGAGAGAGAGCTTCCATCTGCTGGCTCACTCCCCAAATGGCCACAATGGCTGGAGCTGAGCCAATCCAGAGCCAGGAGCTTCTTCCAGGTCTCCCACACAGGTGCAGGGGCCCAAGCACTTGAGCCATCTTTCACTGCTGTCCTAGGCCATCACAGAGAGCGAGATTGGAAGAAGAGCATCTGGGACTAGAACTAGTGCCCATACAGAATGCCAGTGCCACAGGCGAAGGCTTATGCCTACACAGCACCGGGCCCCCAAGCATGGAATTCTGAAACTCTGCCTTCTCAACTAATCCAAAGGTCCATCCTTGTGACTTGGAGGTCATCAATCACAGCCATCACTTTAGGAGTGTGCTCATTTTTAGTGGTTATTCTCAGAAAATTCCACAGCAGTGTAGGAATGAGATGCACTGATGAGGGCTATTAAGACAGTATTGATAATAGGACTTGGTTGAAAGTGATGGAATTCCATTCCATTGGTTTGAACAAAAAAGGAAATGTATTGGCTTCTGGCATGGCTGGAGCTGGGGGCTCAAATGATGTCATCAGAATGACTTTTGCATAGTTCTGTGTTAGCTCTGACTTCTCATTCTCCAGAAAATTATCCTTATCCAGTGGGCTATGGAAAAATATTCCTCCCTACAGCAGATTCACTTTTGATGATATTTCACAGGTAAAGAATCCACAGTGAGATCCTCTTGATTTTGCACATGACAAACCAAGGCCCAGCTAAGTAACCTGGTAAATGCCATCCCACAGTTTAACGATGAGAAACAAATAATAATATATGCCACAATAGCATGAACTGTGTTTTAAAACCCACAAATATACAGCATTCCTGTGTTAATTCAAATCATCTTCTGCATTTACCTTGACTATTCTTATGCATTCTAGAGAAAGTATCTATTTTCTTATCACAGAATTCAATATTCCCAAAACAATGTATTATTAAATGATATTAAAGGAATCTCCTGTGAGGACAAGCCTTTAGCTCTTCCTGGGCACAATATTATTTAGAGCTGATTGTATGAGCAGCTGTTTCACTCTCCTAGGGAAACCTTTTCTTGAGACATCTATCAGTCCATGTTCTCAATATTCTGTTTTCACAGCCTACTAAATTCATTTGTTTGGGGGATCCAAACAAACCAGACAACTATCCATGATTCTCAGCCACCAGCAAAACTGAAAGACCCTTTGGTAAACTATCTTTCTAAATCCTTAATCCTCAATCACTTGGTGCTGGGTCTTGGAATCATTCCATGTTTGTTATCTTTGTTACTGTTATTTGAAATGCAGAGAAGCATAGAGAGGGATCTTCCAACTGCTGGTTCACTCCCCAAATGCCCACAACAGCCTGGGATGGGCAAGGCCAAAATCAGGCTCCTGGAACTTCATCTGGGTCTCTCAATTGGGTAGCAGAGACCGAGTACTTAAGCCACCATCTAAAGCCTCCCAGGATGCACATTAGCAGGAAGTTGGATTGAAAGAGGAGCCAGGACTCGCACCTAAGCACTCCAATAAGGGATGCAGGCATCACAAGCCATGGCTTATCTGCTGCACCACAACCCCCACCCTCATCTGGTATCTTAACACCAGAGTTTAATTTAAAACCTAGTTGGGGGCTGGCGCTGTGGTGCAGGTTAATCCTCCACCTGTGGCACTGGCATCCCATATGGGTGTCAGTTCTGGTCCTGTGCAGTAGAAGATGGCCCAAGTGCTTGGGCCCCTGCATCCGCACGGGAGACTGGGAAGAAGCACTTGGCTCCTGGCTTTGGATTGGTGCAGCTCCAGCCATTGTGGCCATCTGGGCAGTGAACCAATGGAAGGAAGACCTTTCTCTCTGTCTTTCCCTCTCACTGTCTGTAACTCTACCTCTCAAATAAATAAAATATTAAAACAAACAAACAAACAAAAAAAACCACCTGGCTAACACTTGCTTGTTTTAGACAGTTCATTCCCAGTACTCTGAAATTCCTTGACTCCCGGGTTAGTTTAAGTACGAAGAGAAGCAGATGCCAAGGAGGGATTAGACATGCAAGAGGTTAATAAAAAAGGAATAAGAAAGGCAGGATGAAACTTTTGGGCTGTGACTACAGGTCTGACTCTGGAAAGAGGGAAAGGAGATTGGGTATGAAGAGTGTTTGCAGAAAAGCTCCAAGAAAACTTCAGCCTGACCTTCAGCCAAAATGGCTGTGTGGGGTTCTGATTCAGCAGAATGGGCCTGCCCTGAGACCTCCACCATTAGCTGCTAGCAGCCCACATGACCACAGTGGTGGATTCAGAGGACAGTGGTTGGGGATCATCAGTCAACTATGTTCCTCCAATGCAGAGATTTGGGCCACAGCTCCACTGTCTTTAGGCTGCATCCATTCCATTTGAAAGATATTGGATGTTAAACTAATTTCTCACTCTACATAAGGGAGATCACCTGAACACTTAGATCAAAAGACATCACCTTAACATGTATCATTGCATCAGTACCACGGCTGAAGAAAAATAAACAATAGACTAGACTAGCGATACCACTGTAAATTTTGTGAATTTGGAGATGAGTTTGCCATGGTATCCTTTCTTAACTCTGTCCACAGCAGTTACTATAAATCTTTGACCTTTTCAAGTCTTCTCAGGTACTAACTGAAGCAACACTGTTTTCTCAGAGCATAGAGCACCTTTAAAGCATTAATTCATCTTTCAACTCCTACATGTTTCTAGCAGCATAGTCAATGTCTTTTATTTAAGCTAACAGCAAAATGTGCTTCTCTGAGGTGGCTGCTAGAGCACAGTGGGTTGATTCGCTACTTGGGATATCAGCATCCCATACTGGAGTGCTAGCACAGGTCTTGGCATCCTAGGGGGCATGAGACTGTAGCTTAAGTACCCGAGTTCCTGCTAACCACATGGGAGACCCAAATGTAGGTTCAGGCTCCAAGCTTCAGCCTAGCCCAGCCCTAGCTGTTGGGAGCACCAAAGGACAGAAAATCGGTTTCTCTACCTTTCAAGTACATAAGACTTATTTATTTGAGATGCACACTCACAGAGATAGGGAGTAACACAGAGAATCTTTGATCCACTGGTTTGCTCTCCAACTGGCTGCAAGGGCTGGGGCTGGGTCAGGCCAAAGACAGGAGCCAAGAACCTGCTGCTGCTGCTTCCCCAGGCCTATTAGCAGAGAGCAGGATTGGAAGTGGGGCAGTCAGGACTCCAACTGGCAGCAGCCTAATTCCTGCACCACCACACTGTGCCCTAAATGTGCTTCTTTGGTTGGTTGACCCCACCCATTCTCCTAAAACATCAATTAATCCCTCTGAGCCATATTTACAATCTTTCTCACAGTCATCAGCGGAGTTCTGCCTCCTTGGCTTTTCTGAAGTTGACTTATCTCTTCATTGTTAATTATAACAAACTATCAACCTTTAGTTAACCTCTTCTGAAAATTCTTATCTAGGTTTTTACAATTAGCAAGAAAGCTAACCTTTAGAATTTCAAATTCTTGGGGGCACCTTACTGCTACCATGAACAACCATTAATACATACCACACCTCACTGAGTATTTACTTTTTAGTGAATGGACAACTAAAGCAAAGGAGGATGGCCCAAGTCCTTGGGTCCTTGCCACCCACATGGGAGACCCAATAGAATCTCTTGCTTCCTGGCTTTGGTCTGGCTCAGTTCTGGCCATTGCAGCCATTTGAGGAATGAACCAGCAGATGGAAGATCTCTCTCTCTCTCCTTCTCATTCTGTCTCTCTCGATAACTCTTTCACTTAAAAAAAAAAGACACCACAAAATCTCGTTACTTAAAATATTTTAATTTCTAAAAAAATTTAAAATTTAAATACTTTCATTGTACAGTACTTGATATTACATTCCAACAAACTGGAAGGTAAAATAAACCTCTTAAATCAATTTAATTTGTTTCTTAAGATAATAATATAAACTCCTGCCCTCTCCTTCTCACAGAAGGATGCAAAATGCAGCAACACTCAAAGTGGAATATTTAAATTAATACAATATAAGATGTTGGGACAAAAGGAGTTTTAAAAATAAGTTTCAGCTGGTAATACCCACAATTACCAGTATATTTACAGTAGAGAAAAATTTAAAGCAAAACAAATTCAATCTGATTGAAACCCACAATTAACTGAAGTTTTCATTTTATTCCGTTGTGAATAAAATAGCAGTCACTGTTTTAGCCAACACACCAGTGGAATTATCAGAATGATCTGCCTAATCTGTGCAATACAAGAACAGTTTTCTGTTGAAAGGAGGTAAGGTTTCCAAACTCAGTTCATCTATGTTAAAAACTGCTCCAGCTGATGTCTTGACAGTCTAGTTTTCTGCATATGTGTTCTCCATGCTGTCATCATATAGCCATTTATGGGTATAATCTTTGGAACACTCTATAGTTTCAAAAAGGCGTTTAAAGTCTTGAGGATACATGTCAGTTATTTTCACTTTTTCATTTTTTCTTGTTTGCATCAATATATCCATTGCATCAACTGGACTCAATGACCTGTAAAATAAATACAAGTAAACAAACACACTTTACTGAAAAAAAATTTATCTATTTGAAAGTCAGAGTTAGATAGAGAGACAGAGAGAAAGAGATATTCCAACAGCTGGTTCATTACCTATGTGGCCACAACAGCTAACACTGGGCCAGGCCAAAGCCAGGAGCTTCCTCTGAGTCTCCCACATGGATAGCAGGGTCCTGAGCACCTGGCCCATCTTCCACCACTCTTTCCCATCAGTACCTGCTAGGCCACAATGCCAGCCCAATTCATTGTGATAACTCTCAGTTAATATTGATAGAGACCACTTCTAAGACCAACTTAAAATGCCTAACTCATATATAATTAATCATAGTTAGGTCAAGAACTTCCATATAGTGTCTACAACTTTATGTTTATCCCTCAAGTTTCATAGCTAGCCTGCAAAGAACACAGAAGACTCAGAATTTAACATGTGATCAATTCTTACATAAAGTTCTAATTTACCAACTACCCTTTAAATAACTCTCTTGCCTATCTCTTTCATCCTTTCACTTTCTGCAAAAATATTCTTAACTGTATTTCTGTTTATGTAGAAGTACATACAATAAGCACAACCTGTAGAAGCTATTGTTTGGCAGTTTTCAAAGTGGGAATTACTGTTCACATTTTTACATAACCATCACTGGTGAGCAACTTGTAAAGCAGGAAACTCCTTTATACTTAGCCTAGCAAGCAACCACCAAAAAGCTGCTGACAAGTAACTGATTTTAACAAAATATTTTGGTAGAAAACATTTCCAGTGCTTTGTGATATTGAATGTAATCTTGATCAATCAACAGAGATATCCAGGGGGAATTTTTAACATTCTATACCATGATTTATCCTATTTATTCCTTATTTTTCTATTTTTTTAAAAGATTTATTTATTTATTTGAAAGTCAGAGTTGGGGGGGGGGGTCTTCCATCCGATAGCTCACTCCCCAGATGACCGCATCGGCCGGAGCTGTGCCGATCCGAAGCCAGGAGCCACGAGCTTCTTCCCAGTCTCCCACATGGGTGCAGGGGCCCAAGGACTTGGGCCATCTCCTATTGCTTTTCTGGGCGATAGCAGAGAGCTGGACAGGAAGTGGAGCAGCCGGGTCTTGAACAGGTGCCCATATGGGATGCTGGCGCTTCAGGCCAGGGCTTTAACCCACTGTGCCACAGCGCCAGCCCCTATGTTTTCTTTTAAAATAACCACTACCAAAAAGTGGCAAGGTAAAAAATTTTTCTAGTCTATTGTCACTTTTAACATTTTTTAAAAAGATTTATTATTTATTTATTTGAAAGGCAGAGTTACAGAGAGGCAGACAGGGGAGAGGGAAAAGGAGTGGGGAGGGGGAGAGAAGGAAGGGGGGGAGGGAGAGAGGTGTCTTCCAAACACTGGTTCACTCCTTATATGGCCACAACGGCCGGAGCTGTACCAATCTGAAGCCAGGAGTAAGAAGCTTCTTCCAGGTCTCCCACGTGGGTGCAGGGGCCCAAGCACTTGGGCCATCTTCCACTGCTTTTCCTGGCCACAGCAGAGAGCTGGATTGGAAGTGGAGCAGCCAGGACTAGAACTGGCACCCATATGGGTTGCCAGCACTGTAGGAAATGGCTTTATCCCCTACACTACAGCACCGACCCCAATATCTTTTTTTAAAAAGATTTTTATTTATTTATTTGTTTGAGAAATAGAGTTACAGATAGAAAGAAGGAGAGACAGAGAGAAAGGTGTTCAATCCGCTGGCTCACTCCCCAAATGGCCACAAAGGCCAGAGTTGGGCCAACCTGAAGCCAGGAGCCTGGAGCTTCCTCCAGGTCTCCCTCATGGGTGCTGAGGCCCAAGCACTTGAGCCATCTTCCACTGTTTTCCAGGCCACAGCAAAGAGCTGGATCAACAGAGGAGCAGCCAAGGACTAGAACTGGCACTCATATGGGATGCCAGTGGCACAGGTGGAGGATTAACTACTGTGCCACAGTATTGTACCCCTGACATTTGTGGGTTTGTTTGTTTGTTTGCTTTTGACAGGCAGAGTGGACAGTGAGAGAGACAGAGAGAAAGGTCTTCCTTTTGCCGTTCGTTTACCCTCCAATGGCTGCCGGTGTGCTGCGGCCGGCGCATCGTGCTGATCCGAAGCCAGGAGCCAGGTGCCTCTCCTGGTCTCCCATGTGGGTGCAGGGCCCAAGCACTTGGGCCATCCTCCACTGCACTCCCGGGCCATAGTAGAGAGCTGGCCTGGAAGAGGGGCAACTGGGACAGAATCCGGTGCCCCGACCGGGACTAGAACCTGGGGTGCCGGCGCCACAAGGCGGAAGATTAGCCTATTGAGAGCCACGGCGCCGGCCAACATTTGTTTTTATAAATACTGTCCGGTCAATAGTTCAGCATTATATACTAAATGATGATCAAGTTTATCATTTATTTTAACATTTAACCCATCCCCTGACAATACTTCAATGACTCAATGGACTGATTATCAGGTGAAATGCAGAACCCATAACTGCACACACTGGCCCTATGTAAGAATACTTTTACACAAATACAAAGTAGGTAGTAGTAGCTATAATTTTATAAAGCTTTAGGTAGAAATATAAAGTCTGATTCAGGACAAGGAGACCTGGGATATAACGATCCATCCTACTTTGTCTAGGAAACAGAAGCACTGAAAATAGGCAATGCCAAGACGAAGACAGTGGGTATGCTACCAATAATACTGCCTTCTCCATTGCAGCTGGTGGCAGGCATCTAGTTCTTTCTGTAGGTTAAACTTGGCCTATATTCTGACAAAGAAAGAGCAAGTTGTAGGCATCATTGATTGTTTTTTGAAGAAAAAAAAATGAAGTTCAGTGGGAGATGATGTGGAAAACCAGGAAGAGGAGTGAAAATGTGGTAAACTCACTTTCTTCATCAACATATGAAAAACCCTGTCTATGAAAAATAATTCTTGTATGAAGCTGCTACTTTTATAGCTGTTTTTATTCTTTTTACTTACCTTAAATGTTCTATTAGGCTTGCATTGCGCTTCCCAAAACAGTGCTTTACCATATGAAAAAATACATCGTAGTTAATAGGAGTTAAGTTTTCTGTGAATAAATTTCGACGAGGAGTCATTCGAATAAAATACAAGTTTTGTTGCATTCGTTCTAACGAATCCTGAAGAGAAGGGAAAATAAATTGTGTTAGTCATAAACTACAGCCAGAGCATGACACTGTTCATTTGTTCCTTCAATCTATCTGTTGGAAGACACAACCATCACAGATCCTGTGTGTCTCTGGATTTTCTTGTTGAGCAAGCCAAGGCAAAGCCATAACCACTCTTTACTTGGGCCTTTTACTCTCTGCACTGACTTTAGGAATTAAATAACCTCTCTCTCCAGGACAAACAGCAGGCCTGCTTAATGTTTGCTACAAAGGAGATGATTCTCTCAGCTCTGCATCTCTCAGCTGCAATGCAGTCACTGCACGCACAGCATGCAACGAGCCACGTCACACCACATCACTCCGTGGGCCAGAGGTACAAATACAGTCCTTTGATCCAGGAGCCTGCGTCTTCAGCCAGCATACGAGAAACAGTAACAGCTTACTGATTTGTAAGAAGGGTGGAATCAAATCTCAAACACAATGCTAATATGTACTGAGTTCTTGCTATATTCAAGGCCCAACACTACAACCAGGTCTTAAGGATAAAATAAAATTATTTACTTATAATTGTTTTAATTACAAAAATTTATTTACTTGAAAGGTAGACAGACAGAAAGACAAACAGACATTCAGAGTCAGACAGAGATATCCCTTCTGTCAGTTCACTCCTCAAATCCCTGCAAGATCCAGAGTTGGATCAGGCTAAAGCCAGGAGCCATAAATTCCCTGCCATCCACTTGGGAGACCTGGATTGAATTTCTGGCTCCATGTTCAGGCATGGCCCACTTATAGCTGTTGTGGGTGTCTGGAGAGTGAAACAGTGGATGGAAACTTCTGTTTCTCTGACACATAAACAAACAAACAATAAAACCAAAACTCAAAATAAATACAGAGAATCAGATAATCTCAAAGAAAATAAAGTTTCCAGTAACATGGATAAAGAGAAAGGTATTTTCTTACCTTATGCTTTGGCTTTTTCAGCTTCCCATTTTGGGTATATACATCAAATGATGACCAAGGCTCCTTGAGGGGAGAAAAAACAAAAACAAAAACAGCTTTTCTTTTATTGCTCCTTTGTCAAAGTGCCTGCAATTGTTACTGCCTTAAAACCTTACTTATGAACTAAACCCAGGTCATAGTGTAACTGGACTTAATTAAAAAGCATGACAATTGAATAATACACATCTCTCTCCTTTTGCTATTTATTTAAGAGGCAGAGAGACAAAGGAAGAACTTTCATTAGCTGGTTTGCTTTCCAAAGCTAGGAAACAGATTCCAGTGGGTGGCAGCAACCCAGTGGCTTCAGTCATCACTGCTCCCCTCAGGACCTGCAGTAGCAGGAAGCTAGAGTCAGGATCCAGAATTAGAATCCAACCCAGGTACTCTGATAGGGGTCACAAGCATCTTAACTGTCAGGCTGAACACCCACTCACTCCTTTTCTCTTACATAAAGAAACAAATGATCGAACGTCCACCCTGGTATCAGCAACGTTATCTGTTACTTAGATAAAGGAGAGTAACCTTTGATGTAACTTTGCAAAAAAGGCTTTTTTTTTTTGACAGGCAGAGTGGACAGTGAGAGAGACAGACAGAGAGATAGAAAGGTCTTCCTTTGCTGTTGGTTCACCCTCCAATGGCCGCTGTGGCCGGCGCACCACGCTGATCCGAAGGCAGGAGCCAGGTGCTTATCCTGGTCTCCCATGGGGTGCAGGGCCCAAGCACTTGGGCAATCCTCCACTGCACTCCCTGGCCACAGCAGAGAGCTGGCCTGGAAGAGGGGCAACCGGGACAGAATCGGGCGCCCCGACCGGGACTAGAACCCAGTGTGCCGGCGCCGCAAGGCAGAGGATTAGTCTAGTGAGCAGCGGCGCCAGCCCAATAAAGGCTGTTTTTAACAGCTAACTAACATTTCCAAATTAATCAGTAGTTTAAGGGTTATTAGATCAATGCGAAGCTGCTTTTCACTCTATCATACTGGAAAAACCTTTTAATCAAACTAAACTGAATATGGAAGGACATAAGGATACATTAAAATAGACACCTCAGATTAAGGAGCATTTCTTTTATATAAGCAATTTTGCTCATGAAGCAATTTTAAAATATGACCCCAACTGAAAAATAATTCTATAAAGAAAAAAATTTCAAAATAAGAATGGGTTCAAATCACAGTAAAATACCAAAGACAAGGCTTGGGGGCTGGTACTGAGTCTGGCAGTTAAGACACCTACATCCCGCATCAAAGTGCTAAGTGGCAGCTGAATTGCTGCATCAAATGCCCACTCCCTCATAAAACACTCTCCTGAAATTTAGAAGGGTTTTACTCACCACATGCAGCACCTTAATCTCACAAGCTACTTGCCAGAGCACACTTAATACTTGATACAGGTTCGGATTTTTTGGATTTGCCATTAGTTTCTAGCAAGAAGAAAATAAAAAGTACATATTTTATATAACTATAATCAAGCAAAATTAAGGATTAGGTTTTAATAGCATCCAAAATTTTAAAAACTAGAATTATATCCAAATTCTTTAACAATTTCAGAGTCTTTTTAAACTTTCATTTTGAAAATATTTCATCCAGTACACTCAAAATATAATACAGTTGACACTGCTTGCCTTTATGTGGCCTACCAGGGAAAATTTCAGTTAAAAAAATGAAATAGAACGTATACTAGTTAATCATTTAGTTATGGAAGTGAACAAAACAATTTCTGCCCTATGGACTCTAGCTAATTCCAATAATTAAATAACTTACCAGTATAAACTGTGAGGATACATGTGCTAGAAATACTTTTCTGGGGGGTTGGTGCTGTGGCGCAATGGGTAAAGCTGCAGCCTGCAGAGCCGGCATCCCATATGGGTGCCAGTTTGAGTCCTGTTACTCCACTTCCTATCCAGCTCTCGACTATGGCCTGGGAAAACAGTGGAAGATGGCCCAAGTCCTTGGGTCCCTGAACCAGCATGGGAGACCCCAAGAAGCTCCTGGCTACTGGTTTCAAAGCAGCAGAGCCCTGGCTGTTGCCGACATTTGGGGAGTGAACCAGTGCATGAAGACCTCTCTTTGTCTGCCTCTCTGTAACTATGCCTTTCAAATAAATAAATCAATCTTAAAAAAAGAAATAGTTTTCAAGTGGGCTATTAAATTTTGAGGCAAGAACTGTCATGGTTGACCCCTGACAGAGGAGATGTTACTTCAGTGAATGAAGGCACTATGAAGGAAGGAAATCACATTCAAACAGGTTCCAGGTAAAAGTGGCACATGCCACTGGGACATTTTCCTAGTGCACGATAAAATCTGGTGAAACATTTCCTGTGTCTCTTCCTTTCACTCTTTCATTTATATACTCTGTGCAGCCACAAGGATCTGAGGCCCTGCTGTACTTTCAGGGCTAGTCAGTATTTACTTACATCTGGGTTGAGGTGGATAAAGCATTCCTTCTTTGCTTGCTGTACTACCCTAACCCAGAGCTGTCTCACAATAAGGACATTCTATTGTATCAGATCAATAGATTACTAACATGAAGCATTCTGGGTAGAAAAAAAATTTTCTGAAGCAGGCAGTCTAAAACTGTAAAACAGTATAGTTCTACACACAGGCATATAGTCTTACCTCCTCAGGGTACAGCCTAAGAACTAATCATGGGGCTCCAAACCCATAAGAATCAGTGGTATAAACGCCATTTTCACTATTAAATTATCACATTAAATGTTAAAGGCAACACAGAGACTGGTCTAAGTTTAAAAGGGACGATATAAATAACATCAAGTACCCAGTAAAATAATAGAATTAAAAAGGAAGGAAGGACCAACATGGGAAGCAGTCCACACAGCAGGCTCCTAGAATGACTTTCGCAGTAAATAACACTCTGACTTCAGAATCAAGGCTTCCTGAAAGGCCAGTGGGAGCATTTCAGGCATGGAAAGCCAAGACTCTGTGATAAAAAGACATCCTACGTGGAGGATCTCTGTGAGACCTCAGAGGAAAGGAAGGGTCATCAAAGAAGGATGATACACTCTTCTCTGAAGGGAGGAGAGAACATCCACTTTGATTATGGGTGTGTCCAGATACCGATGGAGTCTATGGTCACAAAAGGCTTCCATAGCCTTGGCAGCCCATGGCAAGAGCCTTGGATGATCACTGACATCATAAAAAAGACTGTCAATTGGTAAAGGAACAACAGCAGTCACTGTGCACTTGCTCCCCAGTTAGGACCTCTTTCCCTATTGAATTGTAATATGAGAATCAACTGAAAATTCTCTCCCCAAACTGTACTCTATATGTTCTGTGTGTGCACAGGTACAAATTGTTGAAATCTATGCTTAGCATGGAGTTGGTCCTCTGTATACAAAGTCATACTAAAAATGATCCATAACGAAGGAGATGGGAGAAGGAATGGGAGGTGGGATGGGAGCTTGGGGGGGGGGGGCGGTATGGGGGAGAGAACCACTGTATTCCTAAAGTTGTATCGATGTAAAAATGGATTCATTAAATAAAAATGAAAAAATGTTTGCACTGCTTTATCTCTTATACAGACAGGGTAAGCTGAAGTAAGCTGATGACAACCAGTGATTTTTCTTTTGTTCTGTTTCCTTTCCCTGTCTTGCAATGAAAGTAACTTTAGAATGATCAATCCACTTTTTGTGTCTGCCTTCTTTAGTCCTTTTTCTCTATAAAGCCAACCTCTTCTGGGACACTTTCTATTTTATGTAATTAAATGTTATCTGATTACAGAATCAAAAAGTAAATTAAGATCATTAAAATAAATTGAGATAATTCTGTCATCTGTCAAGTCTACAAATCCCAATGATACCACCAAAAAAAAAAAAAAAAAAGTCAGAATAAACTAATTCAATAAAGTTACAGGACAGAAAAATCTGTTTTATTTTTTATTTACCATCAAAGTGTAACTGGAAAAGGAAATTTTTTAAAAGAAAAATTCAATTTATAATAGCATTAAAAAGCAGGGGCCAGCATTGTGATGTAGTGCATTTAACTGGTATCTGCAATGTCAGCATTCCATATGGGCACCGGTTCCAGTCAGAGCTGCCCCACTTCCAATCCAGTTCTCTGCTAATGTGCCTAGGAAAGCAGTAAAAGATGGCCCAAGTGCTTCTCCCACCCATGTGGGAGACCTAGATGAAATTCCTAGTTTCTGGCTTTGGCCTGGTCCAGCCCTGGCTGTTACAGTCATTTGGGGATCTTCCAATCAGCAGATGGAAGACCTCTCTAACTCTGCCTTTCAAATAAATAAATAAATAAATAAACCACCAAACTTTAGGAATTAACCAAGCAGTGTAAAAAACTTATACATAAAACATTACTGAAATAAAGACACAACTAAATGGAAAGACACCATGTTCATGGACTGGAAGATTTAATATTGTTAAGGTGTTAGTACTACCAAAATGATCTACAAATTCAATGTAACTATCAAAATCACAACACTTTTTGCAGAAATGTTTTCCATCCTAAAATTCATATGGAATCTCTGGGAACTCTGGTGAAGTTTAATAATCTTAAAAGAGAACAAAGTTGGAAGACTCACAGTTTTTGATTTTTTTTTTTTTTTTTTAGACAGGCAGAGTTATACAGTGAGAGAGACAGAGAAAAAGGTCTTCCTTTTTCTGTTGGTTCACCCCCTAAGTGGCCACCATGGCCGGCACGTTGCAGCCGGCGTGTTGTGCTGATCTGAAGCCAGGAGCCAGGTACCTCCTCCTGGTCTCCCATGCATGTGCAGGGCCCAAGGACCTGGGCCATCCTCCACTGCACTCCCGGGCCACAGCAGAGAGCTGGACTGGAAGAGGAGCAACCAGGACAGAATCCAGCGCCCTTACTGGGACTAGAACCCGGGGTGCCGGCACCACAGGCAGAGGATTAGCTCATTGAGCCGCGGCACCAACCAGAGTTTCTGATTTTAAAACTAACTCTAAAGCTACAGTAACAACACAGTATGGTATTGGCATAGGCCAAACACATAGACTGGGGTGGAGAACCTTTTTTCTGTCAAGGGCCATATAAAATTATCAACTCTAAAAAAATTAGCCTGCTATAAATTTACTGAATTTGAATCCTACTTGTGGTATCCCTGGCAGTGCCAGACCAAATTATTTTTCTCTTTTTAAACATTTACTTATTGATCTGAAAGGCAGAGCAACAGAGATAAAGGAGGAAAGAGAGATTTTCCATCTGCTGGGTCACTACCCAAATGGCCACAATGGCCAGGACTTGGCCAAGCCTAAGCAAGGAGCCAGAAGCTTTATCCAGGGCTCCCATGTGGGTGGCAGGCCCAAGCACTTGGGTCCTTTGCTGCTTTCCCAGGCATATTAGCATGGAGCCGGATGGAAAGTGGAGGAGCCAGGATTCAAAACTAGTGCCCACATGGGAGGTCAGCACTACAGCTGGTCTTCTTTTTCTTTAATAAAGTTTTTATTTATTTAAAAGAGTTACACAGAGAGAGGAGAGGCAGAGAGAGAGAGACAGACAGACAGGTCTTCCGTCAGCTGGTTCACTCCCCAGTTGGCCTCAATGGCTGGAGCTAAGCTGATCCGAAGCCAGGAGCCAGGAGCTTCTTCTGGGTCTCCCACATAAGTGCAGGGGCCCAAGGAACTGGACTATCCTCTACTGTTTTCCCAGGCCATAGCAGAGAGCTGGATTGGAAGAGGAGCAGCCGGGACTTGAACCGGCGTCCATATAGGATGCCAGCACTGCAGGCGGCGGCTTTACCCGCTACGCCACAGCGCCGGCCCCACAGCTGTCTTAACCCACTGCATCCCAGCACCGGCCCCAGACCAAATACCTTCTCCTCCCAATACAAACATAGCCTATAAACAGACCCTCACACATACTCATATGGCTAAATGATTTTTCTTTATTACTTAAAATTTGACAGGCAGTGAGAGAGCTCTCATCTACTGGTTCACCCCAAAATGCCTATAATGATTGGGAATGAGCAAAAGCTAGGAGCTGGGAATGCCCAGATCTCTCAGGTAGGTGGCAGGAACCCAACTATTTAAGTCATCACCACTGCCTCCCAGGATCTGCATTAGCAGAAAACTGGAGCAAGAAACCCAAGTCTCCCTACATGGGACATGGCTATCTTCACTAGGTTAGCTACTTGACACTGTTCAAAGGATTTTTAACAAGGGTGCCAAGACCACTGAACAAGGGAAGTTAGTTTTTTCAATAAATAGAATTGGGAAAAACTAGATATCTAACTGCAAACGAAGTAACTCTTACCTGACATGAAATACAAACATCAAACTTAAAACAGATCAAGAACTAAACAATAAGAGCAAAAATTATAGCGCTATCTGAAATGGTTCACAACACCGAATTTGACAATGACCTCTTAGATTTAACACCAAACCCACATGCAAGAAAAAATAGACAAGGGGCCGGCACCATGGTGCAGTAGGTTGATCCTCCGCCTGCGGCGCTGGCACCCCATATAGCCGCTGGTTCTAGTCCCACTGCTCCTCTTCCAATCAGGCTCTCTGCTATAACCTAGGAAGGCAGTGGAGGATGGCCCAAGTGCTCGGGCCCCTGCACCTGCGAGGGAGACCTGTAGGAAGTTTCTGGCTCCTAGTTTCAGATTGGCATAGCTCCAGCCGTTGTGGCCATTTGGGGAGTGAACCAACAGAAAGAACTTTCTCTCTTGTCTCTTCTTCTCACTGTCTTTAACTCTACCTCTCAAATAAATAAATAAATAAATCTTTAAAAATAAAAAAATTGACAAATATGACCTTATCAAAATTAAAAACTTGGGGGCAGACATTTGGCCTGGCACGTAAGCAACTGGTTGGGACACCTGTATCCTACATCAGAGTACCTGGGTTTGAAAACTGGATCTGACACCTGTTTCCACCTTTCTGCCAATGAGGACCCAGGGAAGCAGCAGCGGTGGCTTAGGTAGTGGGGTCCCTGTCACCATGTGGAGGGCCAGGATTAGTTTCTGGCTCCTACTTTTGGCCTTATCTCCATCACTGTAGGCATTTGGAGAGTGAGTCATCTGATGGGATTTCTTTTTGTCTCAACTTTTTAAAAGTTTTTTTTTTTTTTTTTTAATTAAAAGCTTTGGGCATCAAAGGACATTATCAGCAGAGGAAAAGGCAACCCACAAAATTAGAGAAAATATCTGCAAAACATTTGTCTGGTAGGGGACTAGTATCCAGTATATATATGCTACTAAAACTCAGTAATAGAACAAACAAGTGGATTTTAAAATGGGTAAAGCACAAAGATTGTGTTCCTGGCTTATCGCACCAGCCCTAACCCAGCCCCTATTACTGCAGACACTTGGGAAGTGATCCAGTAGATCAGAACTCTCTGTCTTTAGGTCTGTCCAATGTTAAATATTAAATAAAAATGAGCAAAGCACATGAATAAGTACTTCTCCAAAGAAGATATACAAATGGTTAATAAGTACATGAAAAGATGTACAACATGACTAAACATTAGGAAAATGCAAATCAAAACTAGAGTGAAATATAACTTCACATTATTGGGATGGGTACTCCAGAAAAAAAAGCATTGGTGAAAATGTGGAGACTGACACCAATGTGCACTGCTGGCGGGAATGTAAAATGGTACATGAATTATTGAAAGTGAAAACATTAGAAATAGAATCACCATATGATCCAGTAATCCTACCTCTAGTACATACCCGAAAGGACTGAAAAGAGGGAACTAAAGAGATATTTGTAAATTCATACTCATGGCAGCACTATTCACAATAGACAAAAGGGGAAGCAATCAAGTGTCCACTGATACAATGGATACACAATTGTGATGTATCCATAGAAGGAAGTATTCTTCAGCCTTAAAGTATATAAAATTGTTACATATCCTACAACATGGACAAACCATGAAGGCACTATGCTGAGTAAAATAACCCAGACACAAAAAGACAAATACATGAGTCTACCCACATGAGGTATCTAGAGTAGTCAGATTAATAGAGACAGATAGAATAACGGTAACTAGGTCTGGAGGAAAAGGAGTATGGGAATTAGGTACAGAGTTTTAATACAGAATAATGAAACAATTTTGGGAATTATTGGTGGTAATGGCCATACAATGTAGGTACACTTAATCCCATTGAACTGCACATCTGAAAATAGTTGAAATGCACCATTTTAAGGTATGTATATTTTACCACAATTAAAAAAAAACTTAAAATGTCAAGTTCTAAATTAACAATGCCAAACACAGATTAAGCCTAATCAGAAAAAAATCACAGAATTGCTTCAAAGCAAAAAACAGGTACTTGTTAATAACTTACCTGGTATTCTTTTTCACTAATGAACATATTTAGTTCTACTCGTCCATGCCTATATATAGAAGTGCAGGAATATAGGTCATATAAAAGTTTCCATAGTGCCTTTCTTTCATTTTTAATTGGGAAGATTCCAATTATTTTTAAGGGAATACCTGTTAGGAATATAAGGAAAAAGATTCAAATTAAGTTCTTAACATTTTTTCCTTTTTTTTTTTCCTATGACCATATTTTAATGATGCAAGGTGAATTAACAAACTACATTAATTTTACATTTAGTTTAATTAATTTTTTTTTCATCTTTCTTTAACATGGGATTTGGCCTTTGTGTATATAATCTGGTTGTGTCCAGGAGAGGGCAATGCCATCCATATTCAGTGTAAGGTCATCTGTTCATAAACTGAACAAAATAAATTATATACACATCCTGTCAACAAACCGGGTATACTGCTAAAGTGAGCTGGCAGATAAATAAGGTATTTCCTTTAGTGAATGACAAAAATCACCTGCTGACCAAGGAAGTGCCTTTATTCCCAAATTCTGAAAAAGCACATGTGAAATCATAATGGGTGGTCTTACTAGTCCACACTTTCTAGGATCCAATTTAAAGAAGTCACAGTAGACCACTTCTAGTTTTCCATCCAGATTATTTCCTAAGGACTAAGAAGAGAGAGAATATGTTAAAAAATTTCAGAATTGCTGAACTTTGCAACAATTCAAAGTTCAACCTCAAAAAGTAATAATATGAAAATATGTAATAATTCAAATATCTTATAGGAAATATTACTAACATACCTAAAATTTAACAAGAGAATTGAAAACCAATTAATGTCTAGAAAGTGGTGAAAATACAATATTACCAAGAAAAAGCACCCCTTACCCACTTAAAAAGCAAATATAATCTCCAACAAATTCTTTTTTTTTTTAATTAATTTATTTAAAAGGCAAAGTTACAGAGAGACAGAGGTCTTCCATCTGCTAGTTCACTCCCCCGAATGTCTGTAATGGCAGGGTTAAGGCAGGCTGAAGACAGGAGCCAGGAGCTTCTTCTGGATGTCCCATGTGGGTGGCAGGGGCCCAGGGACTTGCGCCATTTTCCTTTGCTTTTCTAGGCACATTAGCAGGGAGCTGGATGGGAAGTGGAGCAGCTGGGATTCAAAACCGCACCCCTATGTGATGCTACCACTGCAAAGCAGCAGCTTTGCCTGCTATGCCAAAGCGCCAGTCCTGTCAACAAATTCTTATCCTTTTACTTTATCTTTTTTTTTTTTTAATCTATTTATTTGAAAGGCAGAGTAACAGAGAGAAAGAGGCAGAGAGAGAGAGGTCTTCCAAGATCCGCTAGTTCACTCCCCAGATGGCCTTAACAGCCAGAGCTGGGCTCCTTCTGAAGCTAGGAGTCAGGTGCTTCCTCTGGGTCTCCCACATGGGTGCAGGAGCCCAAGCACTTGGACCGTCTTCTACTGCTTTCCCAGGCTATAGCAGAGAGCTGGATTGGAAGTGGAGCACCTGGGACTCCAATATGGGATGCTGGCACTGTAGGCAGTGGCTCTACCTGCTAAACCACAGCATCTAGACCCATAGTTACTGTATCTCAATAGCTTCAATTGTTCAAGAGGTTTCTTCATATGAATCTAATTGCCTTGCAGTGGTTACCTGGAGCACTAGGCAAAGATTCTGAGATCTCAGGCTCAGGCACAGCTGTCAGCCATCTGCTGTGGTCATGAGAAGAAAACAAAGACATTTCACAGAAGACAAAAACAACTAAAACATTTAAGCAAAAGACAGGAACATTCCAGAATACCACTTTTTCCTAGGAGAATCCTGTCAGTCATGCACAAAATGAACTTAGAACATTATGTAGTTCACTTCACTTCTTCCCCTTAATTTTTCATTTACTTTGTCTTTTTAAGATTTATTATTTCTTCTTTTTTCGTTTTCTTTTTTTTTTTTTTTTTGGACAGGCAGAGTTAGACTTTCTTTTCTTTTTTTTTAAGATTTACTATTATTGGCCGGCGCCGCGGCTCACTAGGCTAATCCTCCGCCTAGCGGCGCCGGCACACCGGGTTCTAGTCCTGGTTGGGGTGCCGGATTCTGTCCCGGTTGCCCCTCTTCCAGGCCAGCCCTCTGCTGTGGCCAGGGAGTGCAGTGGAGGATGGCCCAGGTGCTTGGGCCCTGCACCCCATGGGAGACCAGGAAAAGCACCTGGCTCCTGGCTCCTGCCATCGGATCAGCGCGGTGCGCCGGCCACGGCGGCCATTGGAGGATGAACCAACGGCAAAGGAAGGCCTTTCTCTCTGTCTCTCTCTCTCTCACTGTCCACTCTGCCTGTAAAAAAAAAAAAAAAAAAAAAGATGTATTATTATTTTTTTTTGACAGGCAGAGTTAGACAGTGAGAGAGAAAGGTCTTCCTTTTCTGTTGGTTCACCCCCCCAAATGGCTGCTACGGCCAGTGCGCTGTGCTGATCCAAAGCCAGGAGCCAGGTGCTTCCTCCTGGTCTCCCATTCGGGTGCAGAGCCCAAGCACCTGGCCCATCCTTCACTGCCTTCCGGGGCCACAGCAGAGAGCTGGCCTGGAAGAGGAGCAAACAGGACAGAATCCAGTGCCCCAACCAGGATTAGAACCCGGGATGCTGGTGCTGCAGGCGGAGGATTAGCCGAGTGAGCTGTGGCATCGGCCCAAGATTTATTATTTCTTTAAAGTCAGAGTTACAGTGAGAGGATGAAGCAAAGAGAGAGAGATCTCCCACCCACTGGTTCACTCCCCAGATGGTTACAATGGCCCAGCTGCTTCATCCAGGTCTCCCATACAGGTAGCAGGGACCCAAGTACTTGGGCCATCTTCCACTGCTTTTCCCAGGCCAATAGCTGGATTGGAAGTAGAGCAGCTGAGACATAAACTGGTGCCCATAGGGGATGCTGGCCTCACAGGCAGTGGCTTTACCTATTACACCACAATGCTGGCCCCAATTTCATCTACTTTTTCTAAAGGTGGAGGCAACTAAAGATCTTGTCCAAAGGAAAAGGTTCAAAATATTTCAAGATTTTTAATGCCTTGATTTGCTCACCTTGTAGCAGAGTTAACTCCCTTAGAGGTTAGGAAAAAATGTACACTTTATTACTTTGTTATTCTCATGATGAGAGGGCACCATGCACTTTGCTTTAGCAACTGTGATTTACCACTCCACAATTCAAACACAATGAGAGCCAAAGTTCCAGAATAAACAATTCAATTCGTAAGATAATTGTGCAATCACAGTTTAAAACTAGATTGCATTTAGGAATCAAAAAGGAAAGTAACCCTTGAGTTTCCTCTTAGTCATGATGTCAGGCATTTTATCTAAAGGTTTCTCATTTAAACTTCATCAAGATTGCACAGGTAGGCATTAATATCTCTTACTTTATGTTAGAAGTACAGGGGCTTACAAAGGTGTAGGGTCCTCAAGTTATTAAGTGCTAGGGCTAACATTCAGCCTGATTTGAAGACTGCTCTATTCCTGATGAAGTAAGACAGCTTACCATGAAAACTGACATCTCTTCAAGTGAATGTACACAGTTCATTCTGTAACAATCTTTTTAGGATGTAAATGTATGTATCATGAGTTACTGTCACAAAATGCAAACTCTAACAAGTGCACATCCAGCGCATCCAGATAAGAAAATAACCTTTGTCTCTGACACAGTCACTGTCGCATGCCAGGTTTTATGAGGGATGGGGGAAGAAAGAAATCTGAAGTTAGATGAAATCCAGAGTCAGATGTTATCCTGAAAATCTTCTCAGTCTTTAGAAGCAAAAAGGAGAGCCTTTCAGTGGCCAGACAGCAGCACTGCCTGATGGGACAGTTGATTTAGACAGGGAAAGGTCATTTACCTGTCACCACACTTTCTAATGGTAAAAAGACCAATTCATGCAGAATTTTGCCTGATGATACTCACATAAGAATTGTGTTGAAAATTTAAATTAAAACATCATTTTGAAAAGCTCAAAGAACAGCAACTATTGTGTTAACAGGCTAACAAACTACAAACAGAAAAAGGGTGTAGCAGTGCCACCTTAAACATTTTGTGAACATGTAGATTAACTTCAGAATCTGGACCATTTTTCAAACAAAAAGAAAAGTTAATTTCTTGCTTTCAGTTTCTTAGTTGAAATTAGAGATGGCTATTCTCACCAAATCACATTTTGGGACCTCAAATGTTTGAACAATTTAATGTGTCCATTTTTTTTTAACATATACAAACCAGCAGATTTGGTAACAATTAACAGGGCTAACACCCTCAGTTCTTTTCAAAGTAGCTAGTTGTGGAGTGACAATAATGCTCATAGATAAAGCCATTCTTCAAGGTGTCAGAAAATTGGTATAGAGAAGTATAAGTTTCTGAAACTGAATCTATAGATTTATAAAGGAAGTAGAAAGAGAGAGAAAAAGAGCTGACACAGTGGGTTAACACCCTGGCCTGAAATGCCGGCATCCCATATGGGCACTGGTTCGCGTCCTAGTTGCTCCACTTCTGATCCAGCTCTCTGCTATGGCCTGGGAAAGCAGTAGAAGATGGCCCAAGTCCTTGGGCCCCTGCACCTGTGTGGGAGACCTGGAAGAAGCTCCTGGCTCCTGGCTTCGGATTGGCGAAGCTCCGGCCATTGCGGCCAATTGGGGAGTGAACCAGCTGACAGAAGACCTCTCTCTCTCTGCCTCTCCTCTCTCTGTGTAACTCTGACTTTCAAATAAATAAATAAATCTCTTAAAAAACAAAAAAGAAATAAAAGAGCTGGCAGATGATGCAAGGAATTTCCACTTCTTGACTCGATACATGAACTTGTCTGTTGTCTAAGAAGCAGAATCACTGAAAAATCCATGTGGATGATGCCTTCATTCTGTGCAGTGGTATCTGATCATATCAAACCTTTCTTGCCTCTGAAATTCTAAATCCAGACTTCACATAGTCCCACTAACCTAACACTCCAGTTAGACTCCAATCGCTCAGGAAGTAGGGGCAGCCTAGTAGAGATGAGGAATTAAGCCCAGTGATCCCAGCTACACAACCTGTTTAAACTCACCCAGTGTGCAGCTGAGTGCAGGGGAGGAAAGATGTCATGCCCCATTGTAGGGGTAACAGTTGACACTACCCTAATGATAGGTTAATAAGAGATAAGCTTCAGGGGCCAGCACTGTGGTGAATTGGTCTGAGCCTCTGCCTGTGGTGCCGGCATTCCACATGGGCGCCTATTTGTGTCCCAGTTGCTCCTCTTCTGATCCACTTCTCTGCTAATGGCCTGAGAAAGCAGTGCAAGATGGCCCAAGTCATTGGCCCCCTGCCCCCGTATGGAAGAAACTTCAGGTTGCTGGCTTCAGATCAGCCTAGTGCTGGCCGTAGCAGCCATCTGGGGAGTGAACCAGCAGACGGAAGACTTTTCTCTGTCTCTCCCTCTCACTGTCTGTAATTCTGCCTCTCAAATAAATAAAAATAAAATCTTTTAAAAAATTTTAAAATGAGATAAGCTCTAAGATGTCTAATCAAAGTATTACATGATACAGGAATCTTCACAATGAAGACCCAAAGACTAAGGAAAAACTGTCCATTTGTATGCTCAGATTTAATGAGGAATAACCAAGCGTGTAGAAATGTTGATTGGAGAAAAATGATATGATCTAATATAATACAACAAATGGGAAACAGGAGATGAGAGGTTTTATGGCTTGATTTGGGGAAAAATAGCTCTAATTTTTATATCTCACCTTAGCAAAGAGGAATTCTGGTTTTAGGGGAGAATGAGATGGACAGGAGGGCAGGAGACATCAAATAGATCTTAGTTCTGAGGCTGCTTCTAGGGGCTTCCAATGTCCTTTACTTCAAAGTACTTAGTATTCCAAACTGCTGTAATATGGGTTATTGTTTTCTGAGCCCCAACAACAGCTAGACCTAGAAAATTAATCTTTAAAAATACTTTTTAATTAAAGATTTATTTTGTTTACATGAAAGGCACAGTTAGGGAGAGAGAAATAGAGAGAGGTACACAGAGGACAGAGGGAGATCTTCCATCCACTGGTTCACTCCCCAAATGGCCACAAAAGCAAGGGCTGGACCAGACAGAAGCCAGGAGTCAGGAGCTTCTTCTGGGTCTCCTATGTGGGCTGTAGGGGCCCAAGCACTTGAGCCATCTTCCACTGCTTCCCCAGGTGCATTAGCATGGAGTTGGATTGGAAGTGGCGCAGCCAGGACTCGAACTGCACCCATATGGGATGCCAGCACCCAGGCAGAGGCTTTTTACCTGCTATGCCACAATGCTGGGCCCCAAAGCAAATCATTACTCTCAGTCTTTTGGTCATTCAACAAGCATTGAATACTTACTTGTCCTAGTCACTAGGGATAACAAGATATTTAAGACAAGACCTCTAGGGGCTGGCACTGTGGCGCAGGGGGTTAAAGCCCTGGCCTGAAGCGCTGGCATCCCATATGGGTACCAGTTCTAGTTCTGGCTGCTCTCCTTTTCTGATCCAACTCTCTGCTGTGGCCTGGGATAGCAGTGGAAGATGGCCCAAGTGCTTGGGCCCCTGCACCCACGTGGGAGACCCAGAGGAAGCTCCTGGCTTCGGATTAGCACAACTCCAGCCGTTGCAGTCATCTGGGGAGTAAACCAGCGGACCGAACACCTCTCTCTGTAACTCTGTCTTTCAAAATAAAATAAATCTTAAAAAAAAAAAAAAAGACTCCTAGAAGAAATTCTATAAAAATAAATTATGTGCTTAGTTTTACCTCACTAACTCACTTTAAGGCAGCTGACTGAACAATGAATTATTTTTAAGAACAAGAAATATACCTCCAAACGAGGAATGAAATTTCTGTCACTTTCAAGGGCAACCACTTTGGCACCAGTTTCAAGTAATGCCTGAGTCAGCACTCCAGGACCTAGGATAATAACAAAAGAAAACATTTAGATGCAAAAGTAACAATATAATCTTTCTCAATATCAGAAGTTTATTAGGTATTATACATGTATTATCTAATTTTCATTCCCACTACACTCCCAAATGAGGTATTACTCTATTTTAATCACTTGACTGCAACATTCCAACAGGTAAGTATGCAGTTTGGTTTCGAATCCATTCTGTCAGTGACTGCAACTTGCACTCTTAATTACAATGTTTCATCACCTCTTCGAAGAAAAAAGCAACAAAAAGGAGTGCCTGGAGCCTACCACACTTACTCATTCATGATCATCGAGATCAAATCAAGCATAAATAAAACTGACTCTTCAAGGTAGGAAAGGGTGTTTTAACAATTATTATTCAGAGGCCAGTGCTGTGGCATAGTGGGTTGCCTGCAGGGAAGGCATCCCATACCGGCACAGGCTGTCTTGGCTGCTCCCCTTCTGATCCAGCTTCCTGCTAATGAGCCTGGGAAAGCAGCATAAAATGGCCCATTTACTTGAGCCCCTGCATCCACATGGGAGACCTTGAAAAAGCTTCTGGTTTCAGCCTTGCCCAGCCCTGGCCACTGTGGCCATTTGGGGAGTGAAAGAGTGGATAGAAGCTCTCGGTCTCTTTGCCTTTCAAATAAACGATTATTAAAAAAAAAAAAGAATTATAAATCTATAAATCTTGTGTTCTCAGCATCCTGCTATAGTCTACGGGAGATGCACAGGACAGGATAAAATTCTTGGGGGGGGGTGGCACTTTTAACTATGTGCGAGGAGAGCAAAATCTAAGAATATGTCTCATTCGTGGACAACAACTAAGCTTCTTCAAGAAAACGGAAGTGTCAATAGCACCCTACCTGCGGTCTATAAAAGTCTGCCTAAGTGACGAACATTCAAGAAAATGCAATTCAGCTAGACTCACCTGGATTGCACTCTAAGAAGAGAGAGCGAGGGTCTTTTTGACTCCCCCGCAGGATCTGCACCAAGGTCTCAGCCAATCCCCGACTGCTTACGTAACGCTTAGGGTCCAAGCGGTGCTTGCATACCCAGGGAGGCGATTCCCCGAAGTCAGGATAGGGCAACAGCTGCGGGGATGAATCAGACAAGCCACGGCGAGGCGGGTCTCCACGCGTCGTCGCTCGGGTCCTCAAAATGCAAAAGCGACCCGCGCCCGCCAGGGCTAAGGGCGCCAACCGCAAAGGAAGTCCCGTCGCTGGGACCCACATCGTCACCTCCAAGGTGCCCTCTCACATGACCCAGGGTCGCTATTCCGGTGAACCCCATGAAGGGCATCCCACGTGCAACATCTCCGCGCTGCAGACCAGGCCTGGCGGAAGTAAACACCAGCAACTGCGCACGCGAACGACTGGTCCAGCCCACTTGCCTACCTCACTTCCGTTTCCTCCCCGGCTTCGCCTCCCGAGAGCTGTGAGTGGACCGATGAGGAGTGAGACCGACCATCTGGGTGTGTCCGGACTCGTACTCTATGGTTGCCCGCCCTCTGCACTTCCTCTCTAGCCGCTCGCGCTCTATGCTCCGCGGTCGCGGGCCGCCAGCCGCCTGCCGGCCAGCCCCGAGGGGTGCGCAGAGGGAGGCGGGGCGGAAAGGCAAGAGGTGTCTCCTCCGGCGGAGCCGCGGGAGACCCGAGCAAGCTAAGTGACAGCTCGGCGGCCGCCATGTCCGCGAAAGGGGCTGGAAGCAGACCTGGCGGCCAGCGGTAACCCTCGGGCCGTCTCCGATTCCCAGGTGAGGAGAGGTCGAGCGGGATGCGGGGGACCCGCGGGCTCGCGGCCGGCATGGAAAAGCTTTTTGGAAACCCCCTCGGTTCCTCCCCCCGAAGGGGGGGGGGGTCCAGAAGCGCCCGATTTTGCCCCTCACCTTCCGCCCCCTTCTCGGTTCGGCTTGTTTTGGTCTCTCCCCCGGGGGTGGGGGGGTCCTCCCCCCTCCAGGGGGGGGGGGGGGGTATCCCCTCCCTGGGGGACTTGGCTGCAGAAGGCGCTCCTGGCCCTGCCTGCGGAGCCGCTTGCGGCTTCCACCTTGCTTCTCGTCCTCTCCGTCCTCTTGCCCACAGCGCGCTGCCTCCACCCTTGTGGATGCTTTTTATTTTCTCCCCATACCTGGTTCCCTCGCCCCCGCCATCACTTTGGTTGTCAGGAACCGCCTCGCGTCTTCCTTCGGTTTCTCCCTGTGGGCCAGTGTTTTACTTAATTTTTCGTCTTTAATTTGAGTGTTTGAAAGACTAAAATTCAAGATGAAAAATTAAGACTTAAAAAAAAAATACCCTTCTAAGCTTGAAGAGATGAAGAGTTCAGGATGCTTGTGTTTGTCCCCGTATAAACTTAAATCAAGCACATGTACCGTGGAATGCGATTCTAAAGACCAATTTCAAACACACTAAAAATAGGGTGCTTTAATGGAAATTTTGGCAGTCGTTTAACCTATTGGGCAATTTAGAAGACCTGATTCTTTGAAAGTGATTTCAGTGTTTGAAGCTTTAGCCATTATCTTTGCCACCAAAACAGCCAATCAGCTTCCTGCTTTAAATACGTGCAATCCTTTTTGCTTACTGTACTCGCAGCATGATTGAGCTTGGCATTTTAATGCACAGGGAAGGGTTTCTAAGGAATGTGTCACCAAGCAAATAGGCTGAAGATTGTATGCCGCTGATGGAGTTCAGCTAAGGAATTGACTGCCTAGCACCGCCTAGTTTGGATTATGAATGTGTTGAGACACCGAGGAAACGAGCTAATCAGCTGTTGTGGAAGCCCTGGGGACTCATTGATCTTAGTTTTCTTCCATTCTTGTTTTGTGCAGTTTTCTCATTGACTGTTTTCTCCAAGTGACTTTGACATTCTCTAAACACCTGAGAAAGCTCCCGCTACCCTTTGCTGAACTGTCTTGCCGTCTAGCCTTAAAAAAATTTTCATATATTCAGAAATGCACTGAATTTTACCCTGAGAGCCTTGGAGGTCTAACGTTTTAAAATCAAATACAGCAGAATGATGTTTTCAAGTAGAGGAAGGACATGGTTCCCTCACAGAAATGTGTCATTTTAAAGGGTTTTTCCCTTTAAAAATTGTTTTAAATGCTTGTTTTAAAATGCACTTTCTTATTTCATAAGTCTGTGGACCAAAGTTAGTTTACTCCTGGAGGAACCAAGTTAGTTTTTTAATTTTGTTTTTGAGTGCTGACATTTTCCTTTGGTTTTGGAAAAGAATTTGGTTGTAGTAATTATTTCCCTTTTTATAGTGTCAGTGTTTACTGGTTTGTGGTTGAAGGTGCTGGAATAGTAGACAGAATTCATAAACATGTTATTTTACATAATATTATACATGTTATTTTCTGAGGCCCTAGGTGCTGGAAATGAAGGAAATGTTTGCTCTACTTTAAAGATAAACCTTATAATTGGTATTAGACTTACTTTATTGTAAAAACTTGCTTTGTGTATTTTCTTATTTCAAAAGGTGTGGTTTTTGCATCTTGTGCTGTTTTTACCCTTTTGAAGTAAACTTTTTTAAATGGTGCCAGAATAAAGTAATTTGGAGAATTTTTGTAATATTTTAAAGTTACCTTTCTTATTGGTAGAGAACGTAAAATGTCTTTTATTTTGGCTTTTAAATGACAGCTGTTATAGGGAAATACCAAGTGATGATTCTAGTTTACGATCAAAGTTAAGGCTGTAGGATTATAACTACAGAATGCAGTAGAAACATCATATAAGCAACGTAAGTTTTCTAGTTCTCACATTAATAAAGTACAAAGACCCAGATGAAACTAATTTTAATATATTTTATTTAAGTTTATAATTATTTTAACATGCAGTCAGTTAACGTTGTATATAAATCTGTGCAATCCGACATGCTTTACTCTGGTTCAGAATGCTGTGTAGTAGCATGTAGCTGATGACTCCCTAATTGCACAGCACATAGCTGGTGATATGCCAGGTAATGCGTCCAGTGCCTTCCTGCTCTGAGAGTCTTATTCTGAGGGGGTGAATTCAAAACTCCTTTTCCTCAAAGTGCTGTGAAATTCAAACCAGGAAATCTCGGCAGTTTGTTCCTCTTGGTGTTGGCTGTGTTGACACTGAGCTCCATCCTTGTGTAGTGAGCGCTGGGGCCCAGTGCTTGTTTAGTGAGGATCATGAGATGAATGGAGTGCTCAGTCATTTCCTGGGATGTCGTTGTTCGAGTTATTTACGTCTGCGTGTCAACAGTGTGTCAGTGCACGCTGTGAGTCCTTGTCTAAGTCTGTTGGCATTAAGCAGGGACAATCAGAACCTCCAAGAAGACTGAACTCTCTCATGGGCAAGTAGAGTACCTGCTGTTGTGGACTTTTCTGAATCAGTGTCAGGTATGGCTAGGAGTTCTATCAGTGTGCTTTTCTAAATTGTGGTGCTTCTTATCAAAGGAAAGAGCTAGCCTTTTAGCAAATTTTAGAAAGAAAGAAGGGTATATTTATGACTCTTAGAACTCTGAGAGCCTGAGTTGAGCATAAGAGTAACATTTGCATATGGTGGTTCTGGGGAAATTTAAAAGGAAATGTAGAAGTTTTTATAGAAAGCTACTGACAGCTGTCTAGGTGTGTCCTTTAAGTTGTCTCTGCAATAAGGGGGGCATTTGCATGGACCCATCTCTAGTTCAGAGCTAAGAGAGAACCCGGAAGCCAGCTGATCTCAGGGGGATCAGCCATTTTTCTAAACTCCTGTGTCCTAATGATCTTCCCCTAGGTAGTACTTCAGCCACAGTGTTACATCTATATTTAATATACAAATTAGCATGAAGGCCTGCTATACACTGTAATTTAACACAAGAAGCAAGGCCTCTTCCCAACGGTTACAAGCTAGAGAAATTCCAAATTACCTGCTCAGTAAACAGACCCCCTTTGCAAAATCTTATTAAAGACCTGACAAAATAGAAGCAGTGTGTGAATATTTAGAGCATCACGGACAGAATTAGAAGGGGGTATAATTACTCAAAGTTGCTTACTTCTAGCCGGCGCTGCGGCTCACTAGGCTAATCCTCCGCCTAGCGGCGCCGGCACACCGGGTTCTAGTCCCGGTTGGGGCGCCGGATTCTGTCCCGGTTGCCCCTCTTCCAGGCCAGCCCTCTGCTGTGGCCAGGGAGTGCAGTGGAGGATGGCCCAAGTCCTTGGGCCCTGCACCCCATGGGAGACCAGGAAAAGCACCTGGCTCCTGGCTCCTGCCATCGGATCAGCGCGGTGCACTGGCTGCAGCACGCCGGCCGCGGCGGCCATTGGAGGGTGAACCAACGGCAAAGGAAGACCTTTCTCTCTGTCTCTCTCTCTCACTGTCCACTCTGCCTGTCAAAAAAAAAAAAAAAAAAAAGTTGCTTACTTCTGAGATGTTTGTACTTTCTATAGGAAAATATAGTATTTTCATTTGCCTTTGAAACTATGTAGTTGTCCACTGATATCCTTTTAGTTTGATAAGAAAGAAAGTACATTTGGAGGAAGAACATGGACAGTTATAGGTGAAAGGATACTAATTGGCAACTATATAAAATTGATAGGAAGACCTAAGGAATATGAGAACTGTAGTTCAAGATAGTGTATTGTATTCAAGATTTTTTTTTTTTTAAATTAAATTCCATTTTCCCGCTGGCATTGATTTATTTGAGAGACCTACAGAAACAGAGTTCCCATCCACTGATTCACTCCCTAAATGCCTGTGGCAGCTGGTGGAAGCTAGGAGATGGGAGCCAGGAGCCCAGTCCAGGTCTCCCACATGGGTAGCAGGAAGCCAACTACTTGAGCCATCACTGCTGCCTCCCAGCATCTGCAGTAGCAGCTAGCCGGAGTCTGGAGCTGGAGGTGAGCCGCAAACCCAGGAACTCAGATGTGAAACAGCATTGTAACTGCTGGGCCAAACGCCCAATTAGTGTTTAGGATTTTTTGCTAAATGAATAGACTGTAGCTACTGTTACCACAGGGGAGAAAAATGAGCAACTATGTGAGATGATGGATGATTTGTTTCTCTATAATAACCATTTTACTATGTAAATATACACAATAAAATTTATTTAGGAAAGGAAAATACATTGTTTAGTTTTTACAAGACAAGTCTCAGGAAATTTAATTATTTGAGGAAGAGTAACTGATATTCCAGTAATTTTTAGTTTTTGAAAAAAAAAAAAAAAACCCTTTTAAGATTTGAAGAGCCTCCAAAAGGATTATATTCTGAGAAATCCTGACTGTGTCTTGATACTGTTATGTAGCATTCTCAAGTTTTAGGGCCTTCAACACTTTAATATATGCAGATGACTTTTTTAGGAATCATTCCTGTGGGGGAAATTATATTTCCTATCAACCAGGGAATACTTTTGTTTTTCGAGGAATTTGAATAATTCATTTGTAATATTCTGTAAAGAAATACATCCTCTTCAGCATTCTCAAGTCTTTATAGTAGCTTGAGACTTCTTACATTGTTTTAGTTTTGAGAGACTACTGTTTACCATATTTGGAGATAGAAACCTTTTGCCTTTATTCTGCTCTCCCTGCCATCTCAAGACTTCCTATTTTTCTTCATCATTAGCCATGTGGAATGGAAAGATAGTATGTGCCTGTCAAGGTTCTGACAAATCAAGGTCCTGTTTCCTTTTAGGCTCTCTAGTAAGAATTCTGAAAGTGAATGGTAAATTTAGCCACTTTCATTGACACTTGAGCATTTGCCATTTGACAATATCTAGGTGATTGTAGGAATGAACATTATTTTGTAACTGTCATAATACCCTGTTTTCCCTGGAATGCTAGTACATGATTAAACAATTATGTTTTTATATATTGGTTGTGTTTTGAAAACTCTGAATTAGTAGCTGTGGGATTTGAATGACGGCAAAATAACCTTTTAAACACTAATAATAGATTTTAAGTAAATAATTTCCTAAAAATATGAACTTTATGATAAAATATAGAATGTTGTTTCTGGACATTTAAGGGTGTAACAGTTGTTTTATATTTATTTTGTAATTCAATGTTTCTTTTCCTTTCTTTCTTTCTTTTTTTTTTTTTTCTTGTATGCTTGAAAGACAAACAAAGATAAACAGAGAGATCTTCATTTGCTGGTTTATTCCCCAACTGTCCACAACAGCTGGGGCTGGACCAAGCCATATCCAGGAGCTTAAAACTCAATATAGGTCTTCCAGTTAAGTGGCAGGTACCCAAGTACTTGCCTCCTGGGGTATGCAGTAACAGGAAGTTGGAATCAGAAGCAGAACTAGGACTCACACCCATGCCAGTGAACTCCACTGTGGGGCGTGGGCATCCCGCAATCTAATACCACCACCAGTTATGTTTCAATTTTATGTGCACATTTTCTTGTCCACTATTTCTCTCTTCTATGGGTATTATAATTACTACAGTAGAGCAATATAAAAATTTTTTTTTTAATTAAAATCGTTAGGGGCTAAGATTTTTTAATGACACTTATTTTTGCCAGATTGTTTTATTTACTGAAGTCTAATTGAATTAGATGTTTTAACTTTATATAGTAACAAATACCATTTTAGATTTTTTTCATTCATGAGGCATGGAAAATGTATTCTTAGACTGGGTCGACAAGGTTTCATACCAAACAACCAACATGGTTTCCTCCCTCAGCTTCAACTCAGTTGAAAAGAGGAGCACAAGTTTTTTGTAGAGACTATGCTGATTAGAAAATGGTGAAATTTAGTTTCCTGAAAAGATTTCTTAAAGATTTATTTATTTATTTGAAAGGCAGAGAGAGAGAGAGAGAGAGAGAGAGAGAGAATGTCTTCAATCCATTGGTTCACTCTCCAAATGGCTGTAATGGCCAGAGCTGGGCCAATCCAAAGTCAGGAGCCAGGAGCTTCTTCCAGGTCTTCCACACAAGTGCAGGGGCCCAGGCAATTGGGCCATCCTCTACTGCTTTCCCAGGCTGTTGCAGAGAGCTGAATTGGAAGTGGAACAGCCGGGACTTGAACCGGTGCCCATATGGGATGCCAGCACCACAGGTGGCAGCTTTACCCGCTAAGGCACAGCGCCACCCTCCCTGGAAAAGATTGTATATCTACCTATTTGTGATATCTTAATCAAAATTCAGCCATCAGGCTTCATTTTCAACAATTTGTAAAGTAATCCCTATATTCTTTCTGTCCCATTATTTTAAAATTTGTTGTGGAATTCTTTGTCATGCCAATTAGAATTTATAGCTGTAGCGCTGGGTAAGCACTATAAAGTGAAGATTTTACGAAATGGCATGTGTCTCCCTTACTTTATTTTTTAAAAATGTTTATTTATTTATTTGAAAGGCAGAGTTACAGAGAAGCAGAGGCAGGGGGAGAGAGAGAGAGGTCTTCCATCCGCTGATTCATTCCCCAGATGGCCACAATGATCAGAGCTGGGCCTGGCCCACCCGAAGCCAGTTGTCAGGAGCCTTTTCTGGGTCTCCCACGTGGGTGTAAGGGCCCAAGGATCTGGGCTATCTTCCACTGCCTTCCTAGGCACACCAGCAGAGAGCTGGATTGGAAGTAGAGCAGCCGGGAATCAAACCTGGGCCCATATGTGATGCTGGCACCTTAGGCGGTAGCTTTACCCACTACACTACAGTGCCAGCCCCACAATATAGTTTTATAAAACCTTGTTTTATACCTTTGTCAAACAAATGGTTAAGAGTATTAAAATACTATAGTTTTAATGATCTGTTATTGCTTTAAAATTTATCGTATATGTATGAAATTGCCATTTTCTCATTCAGTTATTCTTAAAATCTTGCCTATATTCCTGCTAAATGAGGGTCTTTTTGCTTTTCACTTGTTAAACTTCTTTATTTGGTGAAGCATTAAGCCTTTTTACTGTAAAGCAAATTTAAACTAATCTCAAAAAAAAAAGAGGAAAGGAGAGAAGGAGGAAGGGAATATCGTTATATTAGACTTGTAAAGAACTATGTTGAATGTTAAAAACTAATAATTTTTAAAATACTCTAAAAAATCAGTGCTGTTGGGGCTGGTGCTGTGGCGCAGCGGGTTAAAGCCCTGGCCTGAAGTGCCAGTATCCCATATGGGCACCAGTTCGAGTCCTGGATACTCCACTTCCGACCCAGCTCTCTGCTATGGCCTGGGAAAGCAGTGGAAGGTGGCCCAAGTCCTTGGGCCCCTACACCCGCGTGGGAGACCTGGAAGAAGCTCCTGGCTTCTGGCTTCGGATCAGCAGCTCCGGCTGTTGCGGCCATCTGCGGAGTGAACCAGTGGTTGGAAGATATCTCTCTCTCTCTCTCTCTCCCTCTGCCTCTCTGTAACTCTGCCTGTCAAATATATATATATATATATATATATATATGTTTAAAGATTTATTTATTTAGGGGCTGGCACGGTGGC